AATGCATCCAACACGCTAGCTCGTCGGGATGACGTGGCAAGTGTTGAGATTCTTGCGAATTGTTTGAGGACAATGCGCAGAGTACTGTCGAGGCAGTGAAAATCTGCCGTCACCATATCCGCAGTGATGGTAGAATCTTCTTCACAGCCACAGGCTAGATATTCTGTGAGAAAGAGCATGAAGGATGATGAGCGCAGTCCTAAACGAGACGCCTCATCTTACTTCTTCAGAACATCTTCAATTCAGAACATCTTCAAGTTTTCCTTGGGCCCGATCCATGAATGTCCCTTTAACGGGAGTTGCTCCGCCATCAGCTGCTAGTTTGTTTTTAGCTGATTGTGGCATAGACGGGACCAACAAGAAAGACTCAAAGTCCTCTTTTGGGAACCGAAAGAATTTGGAAGCCCGTTGATCGAAAAGTTTCCACTTCTTGGTCTCCATTACGGTCTTGATGTGTTCTACGCACATTTGATCCAGAGGAATAGTCGGGAAAATTGGATTATGTGTCTCTGAGCAAACTGGGCCCGTACATTGCTTGAATGACTTACGTTCCGGGACTTTAGGAGTCTCATCACATTTAGGAAGTTTGAGAACACGAATCATGTCTCTCTGCACCAGTCGTAATTCTGTCTCGAAGTTAGGAAGGTGCCGAATCTCCATATTATCTTCTTCAGAAGATTTGGTGTGGGAACGGTTGGAATTTCCCTGAATGGATGGGTCCGAACCCGCAACACCTTGTGCTTCATGCACTGTACTCTTGTTCCGCGATGACTCGGCATCAGATCCAGAGAAGGTTGACAATGGATTGATGCTAATGCATGGTGCAGCTGAAGCTGTATGACTTAATGCTTGTGGAGGGACATCTTGCATACCATCACTGTGAATTAACTGATCTGGATGCAAACTCTGTGACGCTGGGGCGATATTGGGGGCGACTTCAGGGGTGAGTTGGTCATGCACTGGCCCCTGACCCACGCTCCTGTGAGGACCGATAATGATGCCGAAATTGAGTGAAAAGCTTGCGGAAATTCAGCTTGAGGAAACGTGTCACAGCGTCGATATTTTCTGCGCCGTCATGATTTGCTTTCAGACAAATCCTCATCGGAATCCGACGAAGAATAGTGGTGTCTATATCGGCGTGATTTCTTTGACTTTTTCTTCGAGCGGGCTCGAGATGTACCAGATTTAATCTCCGATGATTCGTCCACCACGGGAATCCCCGAACATGGAATGTATGATGAAGTCGATGATGTCCCGTAAGTGGGCAACGCAATAACTCTGGTCTGTTCCGGTCCAACGTTCGCACCTGAACGTCGAGTGGGACTTGGTTGGCCTCAGCCCAACGGGTAGTAGAACGGCCAGGGCCGGCATGCTCACACACGGAGTTGCCGACCCACAACCAGAGAGCACGGAAACCGTATCAGATACAGCAGGTTCTACGGTCTGCACATGAGACCGTTTTCCCCGTTTATTATGCTTCACTCCTTCAGTCTGGGGATGAACAACGGCAGCGGCTTGGGATTTGCCCTTGGTCTTACCACCCTTGCTGCCCCGTGTTCCCTCTTTATGTTCAGTTCCCACTGCATCAGTCGGGGTAGGCAAATCTTTAAAATGCTCTGCCCGACCTGCAGGTTCTCCAGTCTGGGGGGACGGCGAGACGTCATTGTCTGCCGAGCCACGCACAGAAGACGAATTCGGGGCAACGTCATTTCGAAGCGACATTTCTCTTCCTTATTTATTAACTTTCACTTCACGAAGAATTGTTACACAACACAAGGTCTTTGTCTTACTTATCTTTTATTATTACAACTCTTGACCAAAATAGGAATACAGATAAAGACGAAGTACTCAATTATCTGAGGTACTGTAAAACACGTCTTATCTGTCCCGCCGCTAAGAGAAAAGAGGAAGCCAACATGGCGCTCGTGGCGCAGGGTAGTGTGGGTAGCATTATAGAGGGCGCTGTTGTATAAACTCTTAGCGAATGGAACCTGCCGGTAAGGGGAAAATGCAATTGTAGTGGCTCTTCAGGTAAGTGAGTGAAGTAGACATAGCATCCAAGCCATAATATGCCATTCAAGTCTCATGAAGAATGACTTCAAACAATATTTAATTTGTTGAGTAGGTAGTTTGCAATTCATAATCTTTTGGAGGTAGACATGGAGAACAAGGAGAGTATCAGAATTATAACATGATAAATGTCAGATATAACATGTAAGGCTGTCAATTTTTTAATAATTTAGTATTCGATTATTCGCAAGTTTATTTAAGCAAATATTCAAAAGACACTGATCAAATTTACACGTGCCAGCTACAACTGCATGCCGTGCCCATCAAAAGTTGCAAGCAAAGTGCGCCGTGTACAATTTGCATGCAGCGCTTGATGATATGGGCCGCTGCAGTGTTTTGCAGTATTTTATAAATCTGTCAAGGGCTTTAACCTGCTGAATCCTGGTTCATACTCGGCACGAATGCGAATGCGAAGCGAATTTGACGTTAAGAAACGTTCGCTGCAAAATTCGCCCAAGTTGAAATGTGTTCAACTTTTACGAATTCGCAGCACGAATACTTGCTATGACGTCACCAATTCACGTTCGCTTTCACTTTCGTGCCGAGTATGAACCGGGCTTAAAGGAGAAGAAGATGAACCGCTGTCGACAGCCGTTCATCCTCTTGTTACACAAATGTTACAACTTCACGATTAAAGTAACATCACTTTGTTTGTTCTTTTGAGTATTCGAACCGGCGAAAAGCTATTCCAATATTTCCGACAGCCCTAGTAACAAGGACAGGAAAACACGCGGACCATAAATTGATAGAATTACCAATATTAAGTCCTACAAAACCTATTAAGAAAATAATTTTGAATTTAGCATGATTTGTTTGTGAGATATGACATAATATGGATGATGAGCAAGAATAATACCACATATTAGTTTCTAAGGATTAAAAAATGGAGAGTGTATCCCAAGAAAAAACAAGAAAAGTAGTGTTAAAAAACACAAATGCCCCGCAACCATGCCTATTTCCATGACATAACACCACTCTATTAACATCAACTTACCTGGGTCACATGGAACGTTCATTGACATCGTTATTGTTTTCTTTAGGTTATATATGTAATTCCCATAAAGAATTTTTGTTTTTTGCTTTTCTGTTGGGAAGTCATTGTATGTGATTTAAGCAAACTGACTGGATATTTTCAGTCTTAAGCAAGACATTTCTCAAAGGCAAATCCTTTGAGCATTATCCTTTGAGTATTTACAAGGCCTACATGAAAAAAATAAGAATTTTTAAAAATAATCAAAAGAAAATATGGTTATTTGAATAAAGCTTGAGTTATCATCATGACATCATTTCTTTGGTTTTTAATAATGAGAACAGTTGGCCTATGGTGTCCGAAAGTGACTCAAAATCCTAAGAACAACCTACAGAGCTGCATATACATTGTACATGTACATGTACTATGGTGCAAGTCTCAAGTTTTAGTAATACATGGGGGTGTACATGTGTTTGTTTTTTGTTGTTTCAATTAAAAATATGACTGTCCAAGAAAAAAGGGTGGAGAAGCCACATTGATTATACAAAAAAACATGTATGAACAGTGTACAGGCCCCCTAATATTTTAGTGAGTGATTACACTTGCACATGCATACTGGTTTGGTAAACAAAAAAAAATGACCTTGGCCTTTGTCTTATGGGGTCCAAACTTATAAGTTATACTAGCAAGCTACCTTCACTGTATCAAGTGTCAAGACATACATGGACATACAATCCAGATATTGCTGTGGAACTCGTATAGTAAAGTTTTCGAGTTTGAAAGGGAAGTTTCAAAATGCTCTTATTTTAACCAGAATTAATTTCCTTGGCTAAAATTTGGACTTAATATCCTTTTTCTAAATTTTTCTTATTTGTGACAGATCAACCCACCTTGGAAATTCCTAGTTTTTGAGTAAAATCCATATATCTATTTCGTGAAAATCTTGTGGAGACGTATTCATCTATAGAATTTGCCCTGTGGAGACGTATACAATCTTTTGTTCCCTATTGTATGCCCGTCTCCAGAGGGCACGGTATATCAGATCACATGCACGCACACATGCACAACCCGTATAGTATTGCAATAGGGATAAATGCACACACACCTTCTTGTTCTGTAATTGTGGGGACTTACACTCGTCTGTGCAAGGAATTTGTTGGGACCGAAAATGCTATGGGGACAGCAGTCCTAATTTGCCTAACAATAAAAAACTTCCCCATAACGCGGTGTATGCCTACCCACACACACCCACGTGTGTAAATGCTGGCAATCGTGGACGCCCCATTGTCCCTAATCCTCTTTCCTTTGTTTGTACTCTTTTTAGCGACAGCTCTCATTGGTTTTGTACACGATTTGAGATCGTGGACGTTTGGTCAATCATGGACGTAATGTTTGCGCCCACATTCTTTTGTCCTACATCCACGATTGCCGGTGTTTACATACTCACACACACGTTTGTTTTACATACCCTATGTGGACATTCCTTTGTTTTCGTGTAGTTAAGAAAAACTCGGTACAAAAAATAACTTTACTTAAACTGTTAAAACGCTTTCAACCCAAATTTTTTCTATGATTCCCTATAGTGTTTCTCTTCATTCTGCCACAGATAAACCTAACCCAAAAATGCCTCTAAACCTGTTTTCCAGAAAGGGCGAAACGTTATTTGGACACGGCTTAGTCCACATATTGCAACACAACCTGCATTATGTGGACATCTTTTGTTCACAAGTCCACATAGTGAATGTAAGACAAACTCGCACACACACACACTGACGGACAAAGCATAAAAAAACATAAAAAAACTTTTTTTAATATATTATTACAAGCTGAATGAATTGATGGGCAGACATCTAGCTTCCATTTCTGAGGTGACAGTATTTATGTTGATTAGGTGCACAATGACGCATAGACTGTTTTGTTAAACATGAATGTTATGGTTTAATGTGCTGAAATGATATACCTTTTGTTGCTCATCTGCCTCCCTCTTTTGCTGAACGATGATCACAAGATATTCCTCACACTGCTTCTGAAACTGGGCAACTTTAGTCTTTGCATCCTCCAACTCAACAGACATGACTTCAACTTTTGCTCTTGTGTCATCAATTTTGAAGAGACCATTCTTGAGTTTGTTTGCAGCATCTCCCAACTCCTTCCGCTTCTCATACAGGAGACTGTCAACCCAGATTAAAAAGAATAGGAGAATGGAGTATAAAATACTTACATAGTCCTTAAGTGATTGTCAGTTTTACGTAATAATAGTCACTTTGAATTTGGCCAATGAAACTGTGTTGGACAAATGTTCCTGTCCATGGTATATCATTCCAATTGTACATACACACCAAGGCCGAAGGCCACAGGGCAAAAAAAGACAAAGGCAGCCCCCCCCCCCCCCATAGCTTGTAATTTTTGCACAAAAAGGGATATCTTCCCTTTCACAACAAATCCAGACTTACACTTTATATCCAGTAACCAGCTCCAGGTAATTAGTGGGGGTGACATAGTTGTGGCGCTTCAATTCAAACAACATTTTATGAGAACTCTCAACAACGGAGCGATGTATTGTGCAAAAGATCTGAGCCATGTTATTCTTCATCTAATCAAGAAAGAAAGAACAAGATCATAGTGTCATTGAATATGTTAAAAGTAACAAAACTCTCTTTGAGTTTTAACATGTTTAAATCAATGCTTAATATTAAAATCAGATTTTGAAAGGTAATCTTAATAATGTTGTTCATAATAATGATAAGAAGCAAATTGCTTTTGGAATCTCTTGCCTGCAAGGAAAAATATTTTTTTAAACAAGTCAGGTGTGTTTACAAACACAAATGCCCCGCAACCGTGACTGTTCCCATGACATAACACCACTCTTTTAACATCAACTTACATGTACCTTGGTCACATGGAACGTTAATTGACAGTAGTAGTGTCTTCTGTAGGTTTTATATGAATTAATCCCTAATCCCTATGATCTCAGAATAAATACAAGATTTCTATTGTTTTAGCCACTGTGACCTTGACCCTTGACCTTTCGACCCCCAATGCGATAGGCCTATTTGGATTACCCAGAATGATCCACAAACCAAATTTGAAGTTCATATGTAAAGTATTTCTCAAGTTATCGCACTGACAAAATTTCTTTTGTTTTAGCCACTGTGACCTTGACCCTTGACCTTTTTGGCCCCAAATGCAATAGTCTTCTTAGGATTGCCAAGAACGATCCACAAACCAAATTTGAAGTTCATATGTAAAGTATATCTCAAGTTATCGCGCTGACAAAATTTCTTTTGTTTTAGCCACTGTGACCTTGACCCTTGACCTTTTGGCCCCAAATGCAATCGGCTTCTTAGGATTGCCAAGAACAATCCACAAACCAAATTTGAAGTTCATATGTAAAGTATTTCTCAAGTTATCGCGCTGACAAAATTTCTATTGTTTCAGCCAAGTGACCTTGACCCTTGACCTTTCGGCCCCAAATGCAATAGGCTTCTTAGGATTACCAAGAACAATACACAAACCAAATTTGAAGTTCATATGTAAAGTATTTCTCAAGTTATCGCGCTGACAAATTTTTTTTGTTTTAGTCACTGTGACTTTGACCCTTGACCTTTCGGCCCCAAATGCAATAAGTTTCTTAGGATTACCAAGAACAATACACAAACCAAATTTGAAGTTCATATGTAAAGCATTTCTCAAGTTATCGCCCTGACAAGATTTGTCCGGACACACACACACACACACACACACCCTCAAATTTGTATCCTTGTGGAGACATTCCTTTGTTCTCGTGTAGTAAAGTGTTCAATTTTGAAAGTGAAGTTTCAAAATGCTCTTATTTTAACCAGAATTAGTTTCCTTGGCTGAAATTTGGACTTAATATCCCTTTTCTAAAACTCTTCCATTTGCGACGGATCAACCCACCTTGGAAATTCCTAGTTTTTGAGTAAAACCCATATATCTATTTCGTGAAAACCTTGTGGAGACCTATTCATCTATAGAAATTGCCCTGTGGAGACCTTTACAATGTTTTGTTCCCTATTGTGTGAGTGTCTCCACAAGGATACAAATTTGTAGTCATACACACCCACCCAGACTTACGTTACATACCTTGTGTGGACATTGCTTTGTTTTCGTGTAGTTAATAAAACTCGGTACAAAAAATAACTTTACTTAAACTGTGAAAACTCTTTTAACCCAATTTTTTTCCTATGATTCCCTATAGTGTTTCTCTTCATTCTGCTACAGATAAACCTAACCCAAAAATGCCTCTAAACCTGTTTTCCAGAAAGGGCAAAACCTTATGTGGACACGGCTTAGTCCACATAAGGTTAACACAACCTGCATTATGTGGACCTCTTTTGTTCACAAGTCCACATAGGGTATGTAACACAAACTCACTCACCCACACACACCCACCCACCCAGACTCAAATTTGTATCCTTGTGGAGACATTCCTTTGTTCTCGTGTAGTAAAGTGTTCAATTTTGAAAGTGAAGTTTCAAAATGCTCTTATTTTAACCAGAATTAGTTTCCTTGGCTGAAATTTGGACTTAATATCCCTTTTCTAAAACTCTTCCATTTGCGACAAATCAACCCACCTTGGAAATTCCTAGTTTTTTAGTAAAACCCATATATCTATTTCGTGAAAACCTTGTGGAGACCTATTCATCTATAGAAATTGCCCTGTGGAGACCTTTACAATGTTTTGTTCCCTATTGTGTGTGAGTCTCCACAAGGATACGAATTAAATTTTGTGGTCACATACACACCCACCCACCCACCCACCCACACACCCAACCACCCACCCACGGAAGGACAAGGCAGAAACAGTAAAAAAGTTGGAATCACCGAATTTGACATTCAACAAATTCCCCCCCCCCCCCCCCACAGAAGTGTGGTTGGGGTCTACGAACAAATACTTACCTGTAGAGCAATACTACTTATGCATATTCCCCCTACCGGCAGGTATTTTCCGCTAAGAGTTATATACAATAGCGCCCTCTGGCACCCTACCCATAATACCCTGCAGCATGCGTGCCTCGTGAGCGTCCTCTTTTCTCGAGCGCTAAGTCGGGAATACAAAATGTACTCATGTCATCGAGAAGAGTGGGGTAGGGTGGAGGGATGCTAAACAGGTAAGTATTCGTTCGTAGACCCCAACCACACTTCTTTTGGGGGGGGGGGGGGACAAGTCTACTTCACTCAACTTACCTGTAGAGCAATACTACTTATGCATAGACTAGCACCGTCAAGGCAGTGGGTCATGCGAGATGCTATTGTGCTTTCACAGGGGCACGTAACAATACGCGTAAACCCTGGATGGGCCCGTCGCTCCACATGTGGGTGGACAAGGCAGCCCAAAAAGGTCTGCATGAAAAGGACATTAATCATATGGTAGTCTCAACATGCTGACAGAGACGACACCAGACAGAGACACCAATGCTGGGGAGGTCTCCGGTCTGAAAATGTCTTGAGAACATGTTTGGGCTCAGTCAGTCGCCCTCAACACTGCTCTCCCATGCTCTGCCTTATTTTGTGCATGCGGACCGATCACACAGACTCTGCCATTGATACGTCCGTGGTTTCATGGATGACCCTAGCCAACCTTCAGGCAAGCTTGTCATGAAAGGCCTGCAGGTATGGTGGGGTCGTCATGATAAATACATGTCGTGAAAGGCCTGCTTGTATGGCAGGGTCGTCATGACAAATACGTGTCGCGAGAAGCCTGTCGGTATGGCAGCGTTGTCGTGACAAATACATTTGTAACTGCAAGTGACCGATTCAAAGTGTCCCTGTGCAGCTAATGTACGACGTTAAAGTCATGATTGGCACCAAGATTCTCGGTTTGGACAAGAATGGTTTGATGCCCGGAACAACGACGTCCGGAGGCACAGAGGGCTACGACAGTCTTAATTATAAATCCTTTCTCAGGGATCAGACGTCAAAGTCATGATCAGCACCAAAATTGTCTGTCTGAAACGGACAACAATCATTTGATGCCCAGAACAAAGACATCCGGAGGCAAAGAGGACTCCGATAGTCTGTGTTTAAAAACCTTCCTTAGGGATCAGACGTCAAAGTCATGATCAGAACTAACATTTTCCATCTGGAACGGACAATGATTTGATGCCTGGAACAAAGATGTCCGGAGGTAAAGAGGACTCCGACAAACTTAGTTAAAAAATCCTCCCGTAGGAATCGGATGGGCACACTCGGTTCCCACCAGATGTGGTCCATCTCTATTATACAGAAAACATTCCTTTACTACATGTACATCTAGAAGTAACAACTGCTTACAAAAAAAGGCAACCGTAGGGACAAATGAAACAGATGTGAAATTGTTCACTGGTACACAGAACTCTAAAGATCTCGATAACGTTTTTTGGATAGGAAAAGCGTGGAAGAGGTCCCACAATTCAAGGGTGTTAAAACATCCCCTTAATTAACTGACATGGAAGTTCAACTGACTAACATAAAGTAATCTACTGTCGTGTTAGAAGTCCCTCAAGTGCAGGCTGTAAAAACCGTAGCTTGCTTGAGAAAGGTCTGATGCGCAAAGGGATTGCATTACAACATCCAGCACATCAGGAGAAATTCCTGCGGAGCCGGGTGAAGGAAACCCAAGCTGCGCTGGAACAGAATATTGTTCTCCTCAGAAGTACATTTGTACCCCTTACTGGTGAACCAAGGAAATGGTTATAGCCCTGGGAAACCAATCAATGGGACCAACATGGAGTAAAGAAGAGGACCTTGTCATCCTTCTGCTCCAGTTGATTAAGTACCCGAGGGATAAGAGGAAAATGACAGGAAGGTGTATACAAGTAGCCTGTCCGTCTTCATCATCATTGTATTCATGTGCCATGGGCAGGGGTCAGGAACCCTCGGGCATTAGCATGGAAATCTGTGACTAATTTGTGAAACAAGTCAGATTGACATGTGGTTAGTTGCTCAACAGCTACCACTGTCGGGAGGACCCACCACCCCTATGGAGGGCATTAGAAGCAACGTTGTCCTCGCTTGGGAAGTGGAACGTTGAAAGCAAGAAACTATGAGGCAAACCCCAATGGGGTATTTCTCAAGTGAGTGTACACAGTTGTGCAGGCTGCCTGCCCACCTGGTCGTCGATGTAAACCACAACCGTGTCAAAGTCACATCGAACCAGGATCATCTGGCATATCACCGAATATAGAAAATAACATCGCAGTTTCTCCGAGACTGCCAGCATCTCAAGTATGTTAATGGAACTTGAATGATGTTCAAACAGGGCCTCACCAATCCGCCACTAGATGCGGGTGGTGGGCAGTTAACCGTCAGGGTAACATGTCTGCCATGACAGTTAGTGAAGGCTGCGATTTGTGAGAGGCCCACCTTTGTGAGGTTGGCAACGTCGAACCATAGGAGGCGCTGCATAAGTCAGGTCATGGCCTGCACTGAATGCAGTGATGACTGGGCCGGTGTCACATGAAAATCCGACTCCTATGAAAATCGGACCCCTTTTCCCTATTATTGGTTAATCCTTCTCACGTGACCGGTCACTTTCCTAATTACCATACTTACGCATGCGCGTTATTACCAATGAGTCCGAATTTCATAAAA